TTTATTTTGTATTTATTTCGATTCCTTTTTAAGTTCCAGCAACATATTTATGTTTTTGATTTATTTATTTGAAATTGAAAGCATAAGATTATAAAACTTAAATGGTCAAATTAAAAGATTAAGTAAAATAGTCTTTATTTCAGATATTGTATGTTCTACTTTTGGACAGTCATCAATATTTTTCACTGAGGGGGTACTAATGTTAAGACAAAATGCCAAAAAGGGTACACAAGTCAAAAAAGGTTGGGAAATACTGGTCTAAATTACTAAATTGGAGAAGGCAACTGGATTTTAAACAGCTGATTCAGGAGTTTGTGTAAATTGTGAACACTGGTGAGTAAGCAAATTACAGTTATATCATTCAGCTAATAACCATTGCTTAGTTTTATACATGGTTTTGAATGATTTATCAATTAACAATAACTCCTGGTTCTAATTATTTAATATAATCATAATCTTCTTGGAAACTTGCACAATACTTGTAATGCGTGTGGGAGAATGTTGCTACAAAAGGTTCCTACAACATTTCAGCCTCTTCAAACACTGAAGGTTAGACCCCAACATTAGCAGCACTAATGATCAGGACTGAGGAGGAGACTACAGGTTTTCTAGATAGAGGTCTCTTGGTATTTCAGGTACAGTGTATTTACAGAAGGAGAATATGTGGACTTAGCACTGTTGCAGTTAGATTTGCTCATATTTTTAAAAGTGCTTATAAAGTAATTACAGAATAAATTCACGCCTCAAACAAATATCTGCATTATTCAACTTTTAACACAGGCAAGACATGCTCAGTATAAGTAAGATTAACAAAATAATGTTTTTTTTCCCCAAAATATGAAAAAAAATAGAGCATCCTGACTTTCACTGCTATTGCTCACCCCGCTCTTTTTTTCTCCAGACTTCGTAGATACTAGTGACAAATCCGTACATGCCTTGAGGCCCAGAAGTCTACTCTTCAAATCAAGACAATCCATGTCCAAGAGTTTAAACGCCAGTACAGCGTCAGGCAGAGCACCATGTTGAACTTTTTCAGGCAATTGTTTCGTTGTTCAAACTCTATACTGTAGTCCGCCAAGGATATCGCTCATACTTTAGAAATTGAGTCAAAATAGGAATATGCTTCATATGCCCTGTCTTTTTCTTCTATCAAGAGTACCTCATCTAGTTTGGCAAGCAATATTTCCATACTGTCATCTTTATCCAGGTCAGCTGCTGATATCTCCATAGCGGTCTCTCTGGCTCTCCATTCGAGCGTCAACTCCACCACCAGCACTTGTTTCTTTTTCTCAAGGTCTGTAACGCACATCCAAATATTAACTTCATTTCTACAGCACTCGCAAGGTCTGGCTTCATCCAACTTCGTGGGTACTCTGTAGTTAGAAACCATCCTCTGCTACCATGTTAAGATACAAATACAACATTTTTCTTTTCTCTTTTTCCACTTTATTCCCACTTGAGCCTCACAAACAGCTAGCAGGCAAATCGCACCCAGAACAGGAAACAAGGGAGGGAGTTATTTCCCTCCCTCCCAGAGGAGGTTAACAGAGTAAACTGAAAATGTAAAATAAGAACATATGTTTATGGATTGTTGAAATAATTATTCACACAAAATGCAACTTGTGCTGAAGCAGTCTATGAAATCGGGTGGAGATGTAGAGGATTTTTTGGAAGGATGATTGCCTTTGCAGCTATGGGAGATAAACTGTTCTTAAGTCTATTTGTTTATGATGCAATAATTCTTAAAAGAAAAACAAAAAAATGAAAACTGTGACAATTGTTTTGTAAAAGAATATCAATTAATTCTTAGCATTATGTCACGAAAAATTAAAATATAATTAAAACAAAATGTCCAAGAACATTTGAATATTGAACTCTGAATTTATTCAGAGTGAGTTTTAGTAGGTTTTGAATTAGAATATTTTTGATGATTGTTTGATATAGTGTTTAAGTATTTGAAAATATCAAAGTTATTTTATGCAAGTACATTCTTTATTGGCTTCTATTTCACTTTCTTTTTGCTTCAACACCTTACCCCCAAAAGAGGCCACTGCAAGTATATCATAATGTGTTAATAAAATATCATCTGATTAACGGTTAACCAGCAGTCTAACAAAAGGCTTTTTTGTTCATATTTTAAACTGCCGGGAAGTGCAACAGGTGATATCTCTGTTGTATCAGCTTCAAAGACGAATAAACTTTTATTTTTGACCTAGAAAATTTGGAAATGTATAAAAGAGTTTGAACAAAGATTGCCAGATCATTTCAGGAAGAACAGCTTCAGAAAAGTCAAACGAAAAAAAAATCTTGCAATTTAATACATATTCCTGTAATAAATAGCCAGACTGGAAAAGTTAAATATTAATTTAAGATAACAAAGCGAAAAAGCAGTTGGTTTATGACGGGTTTTTTGATGAACTGGGATTTTACAGCTTTTTAGGAAGGTGTCCAAGTTCACCCTGTAAAGTAGGACACAGTCATACCAAGACCTATAAGAGCATTAATGATAACTTTTCTGTTTTCTAACTGGCATATTATTGTTATAGAGATATCATACACATTAAAATTACATTAAAATTATCAGCTTTAAGGCAATTTTCTGCAGCCAAATGATATTTTTAAAAAATGGTCTGTAGAATAAAGTGACCAGCATGAACAGAAATGATATATGAATTTTATGTAAGGAAAAACAGATGATGCTACAGTTTTTTAGAGCCATAAGAAAGCAGTAAGAGTGGGAAAATACCATAGCTTATAAAGGAACACTAAAATATATTTTTATTGCTGTCAGCTTTCTTAATCTGATTTTCTTATAATGCAATCTAATGCCAGTCTTAACGTGCTTTGTTACTTTATAACTAAAAGATTAATAATATACTAAAAACTGTTGCAAACACTGACTATATCACAAAGAGGACACAGGAAATTCAGAGATAATCTAGCATGAGCACATATCTAGTGTGCTCAATAACTTGCCCTATTGTACTAGAGAACTGCCCTTTCAGCAGGAGTAGATATTATTGTTTATCAATAGGATTTTGATATACAGTGTTTTGCAGTCACAGGTTTTGCACTCATACCTGTTCCTTGGTGCTTACTGATATGTTCAGGTTTTATGAAGAGAGGGGAAGGACAGAGATAGCTGCAGGAGACAGGCAGAGAAGTGGAAGACGGTCTCACTCATTTTAACATTCACTAGTTAATTTTTTTTGTAATAATGCCTCTTATGCTGCGTTCACACCGGGGGCAGCTGGCGCGACAGAAGCAGCGAGTTTACATGCAAAGTCAATGGTTGACGC